CCCCCCCCCCCTCCCCCGACTACAAACACCATCAGAGTGGGGATCTAATGAGAAGACATGATTCGGCATCACAAGGGCAACAACAGCGGTAGGCGGTAGTGACAGAACAGCTCAACAACGGACTTTGGTCAATCAATCAACAGACCGGGAAATCTTGGCCGCTACGGCGACCCGACCCCCCCTTCAACCTTCCGCAGAACGTCCCACGGAACTACAACACTCGAAAAAGATTACGTTGAGCGAGATATACATGGAGAGGGAGAGAGAGAGAGAGTAACTCGGTCGGTGTGTGTACTCCATCCAGCCCCCCCCCTCCGATTGCGTGTGGCTAACCCCAGCAATCAACACCAGCCGCGAAAATCAGGACGAGACCACACGAGAGCACTCACTGTCCCTCTTTCTCGCACAGGCCGGACACACGCAGCACCACTAAGTCTGCGGAAGCTGCCACCACCCGCCTGGTTACCTTTTGATGTAGACTTTCCCCGTGACGCCCGCCAACGATGCTGCCAGGTACACTTCATGCAGCCAAACAACTTAACAGTGCCCCCCGGGTCGAAGGAGAATATGTCTGAGGGCAGAGCATTGCCAACGTCAAACCTTCTCCGGGTGCAGCTGAGGAAGCTCGTCACACGAACAGTACCCTTTGCTGTCGAAGGGTCTTCTCCTGGCCCCCCCATCCCCAAACTCACCGCGTCCGACACGCTGGAGGTCTTCCTCAAGGAACTAGGTCCCCCTTGTCAATTTATTTCTTTGTCCCCCGTCGTATTTGTCCGCCCGCCGCCGGCCTGTCGTTGTTTTTGATACTTTCGTTCATTTCATCGGCGCCAGAAGCCGCGCTCCTACCCCGTTGTCTTCTCTCAGACGCATGGAGACCCACCCGCTATCGATCTGCACTCTTTCCACCCCGTCCATAATCTGGGTCTGTCATGAGAGGACCGGAACAGGGACGGGGGGCGGGGGGAGGGGGGGGTATACTCATAGTCGTGCATGCCGTAGTCGTGAGACCATTGACCTCGCATCCCTACAAAGCCGGGACGGAGCATGCCGGGTTCTCACCGGACCAGGCTCTCACATCACCAAGCGCGAAGCGCCGTGAGATATTCGGCGAGTCGCATGAAGGGTGCGCTGCATCCTGCTACGGGTTTTCGGCATCTTGTGCTTACTTCCTTGCGTACGGATGACAGCTGCGTATGAATTAATTTACTTTCTGGTGCTTTCACTTCCAGAGACAGTTGTAAGCACTGTGTAACTGCCTCGAGGGTGCTTGACCATTTTAACACAACGTGGTGCGATCATCCCCCTTGCGCGGGGCGGGTTCTCCACCCCGCACAACATGATCTACTCGACCACCATAATGGTTACCGCCAAAAAAAAAAGAACGGAGGTAAAAAAGAAACGGTAACCTGGTTGCCGAGTTCACGAAGTGAATTGGCTTGTTTTACAACGTCGTTGCCAAGCGACGAAAACCCAACCCCGATGGCAAACACCGGGGGGGGCGGCTTGTTTTACAACGTCGTTGCCAAGCGACGAAAACCCAACCCCGATGGCAAACACCGGGGGGGGCGGCTTGTTTTACAACGTCGTTGCCAAGCGACGAAAACCCAACCCCGATGGCAAACACCGGGGGGGGCGGCTTGTTTTACAACGTCGTTGCCAAGCGACGAAAACCCAACCCCGATGGCAAACACCGGGGGGGGCGGCTTGTTTTACAACGTCGTTGCCAAGCGACGAAAACCCAACCCCGATGGCAAACACCGGGGGGGGCGGCTTGTTTTACAACGTCGTTGCCAAGCGACGAAAACCCAACCCCGATGGCAAACACCGGGGGGGGCGGCTTGTTTTACAACGTCGTTGCCAAGCGACGAAAACCCAACCCCGATGGCAAACACCGGGGGGGGCGGCTTGTTTTACAACGTCGTTGCCAAGCGACGAAAACCCAACCCCGATGGCAAACACCGGGGGGGGCGGCTTGTTTTACAACGTCGTTGCCAAGCGACGAAAACCCAACCCCGATGGCAAACACCGGGGGGGGCGGCTTGTTTTACAACGTCGTTGCCAAGCGACGAAAACCCAACCCCGATGGCAAACACCGGGGGGGGCGGCTTGTTTTACAACGTCGTTGCCAAGCGACGAAAACCCAACCCCGATGGCAAACACCGGGGGGGGCGGCTTGTTTTACAACGTCGTTGCCAAGCGACGAAAACCCAACCCCGATGGCAAACACCGGGGGGGGCGGCTTGTTTTACAACGTCGTTGCCAAGCGACGAAAACCCAACCCCGATGGCAAACACCGGGGGGGGCGGCTTGTTTTACAACGTCGTTGCCAAGCGACGAAAACCCAACCCCGATGGCAAACACCGGGGGGGGCGGCTTGTTTTACAACGTCGTTGCCAAGCGACGAAAACCCAACCCCGATGGCAAACACCGGGGGGGGCGGCTTGTTTTACAACGTCGTTGCCAAGCGACGAAAACCCAACCCCGATGGCAAACACCGGGGGGGGCGGCTTGTTTTACAACGTCGTTGCCAAGCGACGAAAACCCAACCCCGATGGCAAACACCGGGGGGGGCGGCTTGTTTTACAACGTCGTTGCCAAGCGACGAAAACCCAACCCCGATGGCAAACACCGGGGGGGGCGGCTTGTTTTACAACGTCGTTGCCAAGCGACGAAAACCCAACCCCGATGGCAAACACCGGGGGGGGCGGCTTGTTTTACAACGTCGTTGCCAAGCGACGAAAACCCAACCCCGATGGCAAACACCGGGGGGGGCGGCTTGTTTTACAACGTCGTTGCCAAGCGACGAAAACCCAACCCCGATGGCAAACACCGGGGGGGGCGGCTTGTTTTACAACGTCGTTGCCAAGCGACGAAAACCCAACCCCGATGGCAAACACCGGGGGGGGCGGCTTGTTTTACAACGTCGTTGCCAAGCGACGAAAACCCAACCCCGATGGCAAACACCGGGGGGGGCGGCTTGTTTTACAACGTCGTTGCCAAGCGACGAAAACCCAACCCCGATGGCAAACACCGGGGGGGGCGGCTTGTTTTACAACGTCGTTGCCAAGCGACGAAAACCCAACCCCGATGGCAAACACCGGGGGGGGCGGCTTGTTTTACAACGTCGTTGCCAAGCGACGAAAACCCAACCCCGATGGCAAACACCGGGGGGGGCGGCTTGTTTTACAACGTCGTTGCCAAGCGACGAAAACCCAACCCCGATGGCAAACACCGGGGGGGGCGGCTTGTTTTACAACGTCGTTGCCAAGCGACGAAAACCCAACCCCGATGGCAAACACCGGGGGGGGCGGCTTGTTTTACAACGTCGTTGCCAAGCGACGAAAACCCAACCCCGATGGCAAACACCGGGGGGGGCGGCTTGTTTTACAACGTCGTTGCCAAGCGACGAAAACCCAACCCCGATGGCAAACACCGGGGGGGGCGGCTTGTTTTACAACGTCGTTGCCAAGCGACGAAAACCCAACCCCGATGGCAAACACCGGGGGGGGCGGCTTGTTTTACAACGTCGTTGCCAAGCGACGAAAACCCAACCCCGATGGCAAAAACCGCGGGGGTATTATTTCTTCAACAGTCATTGAACGTTTGGTTTTGGGTGTTGTTGGTGTATCGCATCCTCTTGTGCGAGAAGGAGCGTCACTTGCCCATTTCTATTTCTGCAAGTCGCTCCTCGGACGGACACGTGAGTCGTTTGTGACGCGTGGGGTCTACTTGCTTTTCCAGACACGCTAACACATCTCCTACTACTGGAGAACCCACCACGCACCCTCGGTCTAAACCTCCCATTTAAGGGTTCCGTGTATCGAAATCACCAAAACCGGGGTATGTACTCGCAGATGTGCGCGAAAGCATGTTGAGATGAATCCACTTGGACACGCCCCATCCGTCCAAAAAAACGCTTCACATACTTCTTCGCCATCCCCAAAGTAGTCCTCTACGCCTACTACCCCTGTCGCAGCGTACCCGTCACACCATTCCGCGGTCAAAGATAAACAAACGCCCTTCGGCTCAAGTGCAAAACATCAAAAACTGTAAAATAAAAACGACACAAAAAAAGAAACAAAAACGACAAAAAAAACATAAAATCGCCTCCTCCCCTCACCTTGCCGGTTGCCTTCAAAATTTCCCCCGGATGCACGATCTTGACTACCTCGCCGGTCTCGATCTTAGCGGTGCTTCGGACGATGATGCCGTCGTTGTAGACCACCTGCATGGCAACATTAATGTCGGGTTTCGTAGGATGTTTTTCATCAAGTCAAGGTCGATTTCCGGATCCTTAACACCCCATTTTAGAAAAATACATTTCCCTTTTCCCTCCGTCTGTTTAACCCCCGCGCGGCTTGCTCCTGTTTCTGTTCCTGTTCTTGTTCCTCGCTCTCTCTCTCGCCAATATTCGACCTGCGACCTCGGCATGATCTCTTCTGTCCCTGATATCACCTCCTTTGTATACGGGAATCTCTTTAATGCTGGATTTGCTTTCGGTTGAGCGGTAGGAAGCCACCAACACAACGTGGTTTTGCATTCGTCC